GGATTAACTGGCCATGTTTGTGCTCACCTGTAATCCCAGTACTCTGGAGGTAGAGACAGGAAGATCCGAAGGACATCCTTGGCCACATAGTTTGAAGCCAGCCTAGGCTACATGAGGCCCTGTCTTTAAAAAAGAAAAAGAAGAAATATTAAAGCCAGGGTCGCCCCTGGAAGCCTAATGGAAGACCAACATGTTCTCCAACCACGACAGCTGCCATCTGATTTGCACGCCTGTGGCACATTTGCCTGGGCTAACCTTGCAGGTTCATGGTGTCATCCCAGTCTTGCAGATGGGAGATGAGGTTCAGAGACGTTAAGGAACTGGCCAGGATCGGGTGGCGAAGTTTAGCCAATGTTTGAGCCTAACTCCCTCAGACCCCTAAATCCATAGTCTGTCCTTTGCTCTCCCCGAGCATCAGACCTGGCGGTACATTGTCCACCATCCTCATGGATTGGCCAGGGGGGCACTACAGCGGCAGCCAGCTGTTCCAGATGTGAAGTCACAGGATGTTTTGCTCTCTGAGTTCTTCTCAATTTCTCTCTTTAGAAGGGAACAGGCCTTTATTATCTCCCCCCCCCCCCATTTTGCTTTTACCTTTCAAAACGAAAAGCTGCCAGCCGGAGTCAGAAACAAAGTCCTTTTCTCCTTCTCATCTGACTCACGTGGTTCCTGGAGGCAAAGGGCATGTGGGGCGGGGCCAGACTGGGCCAGGACACCTGAGGAACTTTCCCCCCCCACCCCCATCCTTTCTCTCCTAGCTCCTGACAAACACCCCTCAAAAATACACCCCTTGGTGAGTTCATGGGAAGACCCTACTTCCATGAGAAAAAGATGGGACATGTCACATGGTCAGATACACTGTGTGTATGTCTGTCTGTCTGTCTGTGTCTATGTGTGTGTGTGTGTGTGTGTGTGTGTTTCTCTGTGTGTGTCTTTCTGTGTGTGCTGTGTCTCTGTGTGTGTATGTCTGTCTGTCTGTGTGTCTCTGTGTATGTGTGTCTGTGTCTGTGTCTCTGTGTGTGTATGTCTGTGTGTGTGTCTGTGTGTGTGTTTCTCTGTGTGTGTCTTTCTGTGTGTGCTGTGTCTCTGTGTGTGTATGTCTGTCTGTCTGTGTGTCTCTGTGTGTGTGTGTCTGTCTGTGTCTGTGTCTCTGTGTGTACCCCCAGGCCTTTTGTACTCTAGGTAAGAACTCCACCAATTGCACTGCCCACCCTCTTTGCTTGTTTTACATAGGGTCATACTTCATAGCTCAAGCTAATCTTGAATTTGCTATGTAGCCCAGGCTGGCCTTGAACTCAGAATCCCTCCTGCCTCAGCTTACTGAATACTGGTATTATAGATCTGTGACACCATAGCCTGCCAGAGACACCTTTAAAAAAAAATACCAAATCCCATCAAGTCATTCTGTTCACCAAAACCTTCGATATAGTCTCATTCTCCCCTTACAGTGACTTACAAAAGACCACTTTGGCCTCTCTTTATCCTACTGTGGCTTGGATGTGATTTGTCTCCAACCTCACCCCACAAAGGCCCATGTTAGAAATGAACCCCAGTGTGGCGATAAGCGGACTAGAACCTTTGGGAAGTACAACCTACTGGGAGGTCATCAAACCCTCAGAGTCCTGCCTTGGATGGGACTAGAGATCCTAAGAAGTTCTCATTATAAAGAGCCAGGCCTGACCTCCTCCTCAGTGGCTGTCCGGTTGCCTGTCTTGTCATGTGATCTGTCCTTCTGACACATGTCCCCACCAGTGATGCCACCTGCCACAGGACCTTGCCAGACTCAGCACCCTGCAGTTTGGATTGCGTACCTTTAAAACTGCAAGATTGAATCCTGGAGAAATGGCTCAATCAGTAAAGAGCCACCACAAGAACCTTACTTTGAGCCCCAGAACATGTTTGGTTTTGTTTTTTAAGATTTGCTATTCTATACCCAGTGTTCTGCCTGCTCGCCAGAGGAGGGCACCAGACCTCATTACAGATGGTTGTGAGCCACCATGTGGTTGCTGGGAATTGAACTCAGGACCTCTGGAAGAGCAGCCAGTGCATTAAACTGCTGAGCCTTCTCTCCAGCACCCCCCAGAACATGTTTTTAAAAACTGAGCATAGTAGCCAAAGCTTATAATCTCAGCGCTGGTGGGACTGAGCCAGGGGGATCCCTGTACCTAGACAAAGCCTGGTACAGACTGACAAATTCAGAAACAATCTATTAAATACACTATCTCCAAAGACCATTTTCTTTTTCTTTTAAAAAAAAAATTTATGTGTGTGTACGTGTGCCTGAGCAGGTGTATGTGCACTGCTTGTGTGCAGAAGCCCTTGGAGGTCAGAAGAGGCATTGAATTCCCTAGAACTGGAGTTACAGACAGCTGTGAGCTGCCATGTTGGATGCTGGGAGCCAATGCTGGGTCCTCTGCAAGAGTAGGAAACTCTCTTAACCACTAAGCTGTCTCTCCAGCTACAGCCTGTAGTGGGTAGCCATTCCAGCTTGGTTCTGGAAGTTCCAACCCCCATTGAGACTCTGGCAACTGTCACGCCTACGAGGCGGGGCAAGGGGAGGCGCCTGGGGACCCGAGA